GGCATACTGGTGCACGGTATACTGGTTCAGGGTACACTGATGTCGGGTATACTGGTGCAGGGGTATACTGGTGCAGGGTATACTGGTGCAGGGTATACTGGTACAAGGTATACTGGTGCACGGGGTATACTGGTGCAGGGTATTCTGGTGCAGGGTATTCTGGTGCAGTGGTATACTGGTGCAGAGGTATACTGGTGCAGGGTTTACTGGTGCAAGGTATACTGATGTGGGGGTATACTGGTGCAGGGTATTATACACTGTGGGTTGGTTGGTGTTGTCGTCGTTGATTCTTCTCTATGGACAACCCAACCCACAACTCGGTAGAGTGCTTATACTTCACTAGGAGATCACCCTTGGCGCTTCTGGCTCTTGGAGAGGGGCTCAATGTCACACATTTAGGGGATGCGGCTGCAACGCCTAGCCTCGTTGTCGTGTGCACACACCCACTCGAGCCGCTGTGACTCCCCACTCTCTCTCCTTAGGTATTATGATCTCCTCGATCCCCTTTTGGCTTATTAGTACTACCTTCTACCCTGTCCACAGCAGTGGTTCTTGGTTCTTTCTCTCTCTCTCTCCTTCTTTACTACCTCCTGGGAAGCCTCACTAGGACAAGGGCAAATACCAGCAAATTGGAATACATTTACTGGACAAAGCACATACACGATACATACACACATATAATAATAATGAATCCTATGCTCTATAATATTACAATCAGGTTGCACTCCAACACCATCAGAACTCTATCATCAGCTTATCAAGTGGTATCCTATCTTCTGATTCACCACCTGATACTATCAACCTCCTCAAGTTGATCAAGTCTACATACACTGTTGCACCATCAGCAAGATAATATATATATAGAAAATCAGCACTTGAATGCAATAACATATATCAGTATAAATGTTCATTGATACACAACAATGATCAATCGATCACTCTGTCAGTCCTAGAACACATACGTCTGTAGATAATCCAGCCTACGACTGTAACTCTAAACTTCAGTATAAAACACTCCTTGACATAAGAATGCAAACAGTCACTCACCTCTCACTGCGTCTTGCACGCTACTGACAATCAAACACTATCGACTTCCTACAAGTAATCCACCAGAACTTCCCTTCCACCTCTGGAAGTTCACTACCCTAATATCCTTAGGTTCTTCCGGGCTTCACTACCAGGATCCTCTGCAGCTCCTCCAGGCTGCTATCATGAAGTTTCCCTGAGCAACTACGGTGCTTCACCCTTCTGCTAGGTTCCTCCACAGCTCTCTTGGCTGCTACACCATGAAGTTTCCTCGAGCAACTATGGTGCTTCACCACCTCTACAGAAGCACGTGACACTCCTCTTCACTGCTGCTTCTCACAGCTCGAGGTCCTCTCCTTCACTACCTTGGAGTCTCATCAACTACTCCCTCTGTGCTGGCTTCGAAGTTCTCAGCAACTTCTTCCCCAAAGACAAACCTGCAACCCATCGACACTCCAATAAATGTTTCCCCTTTAACACATAAACAAAAATAACCACACAATATGCTTGCCTCCAACCTCTATCTGTTCTCTACATACAGTGAGAGTGGACTCCCCCGTTTTGGGCGGGTCCATACTCCACCTCGCCTGGCGGCGGTCCTCACTCGCTGGGAGGGTCTTCCTCCGTCAGGAGCCAGGCTCCCTCAGTCGCCCGCCAGCGCTCAGAGGGGATGGACGTCGCTCCGTGTTCCTCCCTCTCCACTCTCTTATTTCAGGCCTTCTGCCTTATTAAAACATGTCTAACTTATAAATAAACATCGCTACTGTCGCTGGGCACACGACCAACTACAAGCAATCACTATGAACTGGCGTATATCGTGCTTACCACAGATTATAAGGTCGGAGGCGCTTTCCCTCTGACGGCGTCTGGTCAGGGCGCTCCACACAGCCCACGAAAATGCCTCTGAGCAGCTTATTGAACTCTGCTCGTCGACCAGGACTTGAGACCACAACGTTCCCAGCTCGGTTCCACAGCTGGCACGTCTACACACTTCTCTTCTCTTCGAGATATATCACTAGGGGTTCCCTTCTGGCGGGAGCTCACGGAGCGCGGCTTTCCCCTGCGATGTCTGGCACTCAAGTGAGGTCAAGGTCCTCCGGAAGCGAGCCTCACGCCTCCAGCAAAATGTCCACATCTCCTCGCCAGTCATTTATCTGCTTTCTTCTTCATTGCCCATAATCTCAAACTGTTATACATATCCAAGCAACTATTTTACATATGGGTTATCACCTCAATATTTGCTAGACCTTCTAATCAGGTCAGGCTTGATGAATAACTCTCAAGGAGGGAGACTCGTTTCTCCTGTAGGCTGAGATCATAACACTCCCCTCCCCTTATTTTTGAGAGTTATTCCAGTGGCAAAGCTCGGGATAATACATCCGCCACCACACTCTCTCTTTCTTCAACCGATTGGTTCGACCGGTTAGTCTGTTTACATACTCCCTAAGAGTCTACAACTAGTTCGTTGCTCCTTGCAACATCTGGCTCACCTCTCTCCAGAAACATGATCTTCTCATAAACGATTTGACCTCTCTGACACCTCTTGGCTAGGCTGTCCTCCTAGGACGCCTGCACTCCTTCGGTCCACTCTACTTATTGTTTCCACCCTCCGTTTCCTCGTCTTCCTCTCTTCACGTCCAGGGTCAGACATCTACTGTCAGTACATCCTCTGTCGTCTTCACACTTCCATCCACTGCCATTATACTTCCGTCTCCTGTCATCATACTTCACTCTCTCGTCTTCTCCGACGATCCTCCCTTTCGTCTCCTCATTTATCCAAGACATCGTCCTGTTTGACTTCCATCGAGTCCTCGGTTTTCTTCTATTCCTCCATGTTTGCATCATCATCCTCTTCCCACACTTCTCACCTCTATACAACTCCCTTTCTTCTCCTTCAACTCATCTTCATTCCCTAAAAGTTTCTCCGAGCGCTGTACTACATCCAACAGCACTCGACCGTACATGTCGCTCTACCTCTCCCAGAGTGCTCGTAAGCATCTCTCCACACATACTGTCTCTTCTCCTTTCATTTTCTCGGCTATTACTCTTCTTCATTATCTTCTCTTCACGTTTTCTGTGGAACATGTCGACTCCTGACATCTCAAACAACTTAACTCCACTATCCCTATGCCTCTGTGCTCGTGGACCACTTGACGCTCTACTCTCGTCCTCTGTATGTCCACATCTTTCCTCATTCCTACTCAGCACAGTTGCATTCGCCTTCCGACCCTTAATTTCAGCAGTCTGGGCTCTACTCAGGTCCGCTCTCTTCACATGATTCTTCTTCGGCTGGGCCATCTTCACTTTCGACCTCACCGAGACTCCATTCTCCTGGGCTGGACATTCATCAAACAGCCACGCTATATCTACGTCGATATCTTCTACCGGCTGAATCGACACCGTCTTATATTCTCCAGCGTCTCCCTCATCGGCCACCTCTGCCTTCGTCACTACCGAGACAGGGTTTTCAATGGCTTGGCGGCCTCCTGACTCATCTCCTCGGATGTCAGTCAGGTTCACACTCTCAGGTGTCCCACCCATGCCGTGGCCTTCTGGGCACTCCTCTGGCACAGTCTCCGCTATGACTCTTGGCAACACCTTTGTCCCGCACAAGTCATTCCCCAGGATCACTTGGACTCCTGGAACAGGTATGTCGGGGCACACTCCCAACATCACCTCCGCCGACACATATTCCGACCTTAGCTGGACAGTACATATGGGCATGTCACTCTCAGACAATAACCCATCTACTCTCATCTTACTCCTGCCAGCTAACCGTCGATCATTCCCAATCAGGCTTCTCGCAATCAAGCTCTGATTAGCTCCGGTATCTCTTAAGATACCAACTTCTACCTCAGGTTGGCCTCCTATACTGATCCAACCTTTACTCATGAACGGCCTATACCTCTCGTTCACTAAGTTTGATCTCTGTGGTTTGTCTTGGAACACATTAGCATATTTACTTCGGGTGTCACACATGGCCAGGGTCACAACTCTTTTGCCCTGCCGACAATCTCGCATCACGTGACCCAATCCGTTACAATTGTAACACTTCACCTGGGAAAAGTTTCTTCTATATGTACCAGAGTAGCTCTGACTCTGCCCACTCATATTGGAGTTCCTCGGGCCAGACGTACTACTCGTACTCTGTGGAGCTTTACTGGACTCTTGATTCCCTGGATAACGATTAGTTTCTCGTTTAGCTCCTCCATCCTCACTTTCAGACGAAGTGCGCGACCTACTCTTCTGAGTTTTAGGGTACTTACTTTTATCTGCCCATTTATCAAAATTTTTCTCACCCCAGACTCTTCTGGGTCTCTCATAATTTCTTCCTCCCCAGACTCCACTGGATCTGCAATTGCTGCGTCTCGCCTCGCTTCTCACTCTGTTCTCCCTTCGTGCCATCTTAATTCTCTCTTGTTCTGCTTTAGCGGCCTCCATCTTTATCATAGCCAGTTCAGCCTTGGCCGTTTCTTGTTCGGCTTTGGCTCTCTCTTGTCCGACTTTAAATCTTTCTTGTTCAGCTTTAGCCTTTTCCTGTTCGGCTTTAGCTTTCTCTTGCTCAGCTTTAGCTCGCTCCTGCTCGGCTTTGGCTTTCTCTTGCTCAAGCCGAGTCTGCCTCTTTTCACGTTGCAGCTGTACCTCATTGTCTCTTGGTTCCAACTTTGGTTCCACCTCGTGCCTCTCAAGACTGCTTTCCCTGCTGCTACTTGAGTTTACATTAATTCCTTCGTCACTTGGCGCATCGTCCGTTTCTTCTGAAATTTCTTCCAACCTATCTGGTTCTTTATTCTGAGGCAGAGCCTCAGCTCCTTCTTGCTGGCACTGTATTTCGTCTTCTTCACATTGGCGCTCTGCTTCCTTCTCTTCTGCTTTTTGTTCCCTTAACCAAGTCCGCAGCACCTCGCGTCTATCCTCTACCTTATCATGCCTACCCTTTAGGCCGAAATGGTCTTCTAACATCCTTATCTGCCTTCTAGTGCACATATCTAGAATCTTCTCGTCACGAGTTTTGCAGAACATGCTTACTCTGTCTATATGCGTTAGTGCCCTGATTTCTTTCCGCTTACTAGACGCCCTGTTTGACTTCAACCTAACACCATACATTTTACCGATCAACCAAAGTTGCTCCTTGGTACAATTTTGCAAGATTTCATCATTCCCTGTATCAATGTACTTCTGGGCTCTCGCAAGGTCTTTCACCGAACCTCTAAAATTCAGGACCGCTGTCATCCTGTCCTGTGAGTTCCCAAGAGAGAGAATATACACCTGCGGTCACACAGTTTATCTATTTCAGCAAGGGTGTACAAATCCACTCTTGGACAGGGTGTGGGTGTGTCAGTTCACTCTCCCGGACAGGCCCCCAATTTATTATAGACTGTGTGTTGGTTGGTGTTGTCGTCGTTGATTCTTCTCTATGGACAACCCAACCCACAACTCGGTAGAGTGCTTATACTTCACTAGGAGATCACCCTTGGCGCTTCTGGCTCTTGGAGAGGGGCTCAACGCCACACATTTAGGGGATGCGGCTCCAACGCCTAGCCTCGTTGTCGCGTGCACACACCCACTCGAGCCGCTGTCACTCCCCACTCTCTCTCCTTAGGTAATATGATCTCCTCGATCCCCTTTTGGCTTATTAGTACTACCTTCTACCCTGTCCACAGCAGTGGTTCTTGGTTCTTTCTCTCTCTCTCTCCTTCTTTACTACCTCCTGGGAAGCCTCACTAGGACAAGGGCAAACACCAGCAAATTGTAATACATTTACTGGACAAAGCACATACACGATACATACACACATATAATAATAATGAATCCTATACTCTATAATATTACAATCAGGTTGCACTCCAACACCATCAGAACTCTATCATCAGCTTATCAAGTGGTATCCTATCTTCCGATTCACCACCTGATACTATCAACCTCCTCAAGTTGATCAAGTCTACATACACTGTTGCACCATCAGCAAGATAATATATATAGAAAATCAGCACTTGAATGCAATAACATATATCAGTATAAATGTTCATTGATACACAACAATGATCAATCGATCACTCTGTCAGTCCTGGAACACATACGTCTGTAGATAATCCAGCCTACGACTGTAACTCTAAACTTCAGTATAAAACACTCCTTGACATAAGAATGCAAACAGTCACTCACCTCTCACTGCGTCTTGCACGCTAATGACAACCAAACACTATCAACTCCCTACAAGTAATCCATCAGAACTTCCCTTCCACCTCTGGAAGTTCACTACCCTGATCTCTTCAGGTTCTTCCGGGCTTCACTACCAGGATCCTCTGCAGCTCCTCCAGGCTGCTATCATGAAGTTTCCTTGAGCAACTACGGTGCTTCACTCTTCTGCTAGGTTCGTCCACAGCTCTCTTGGCTGCTACACCATGAAGTTTCCTCGAGCAACTATGGTGCTTCACCACCTCTACAGAAGCACGTGACACTCCTCTTCACTGCTGCTTCTCACAGCTCGAGGTCCTCTCCTTCACTACCTTGGAGTCTCATCAACTACTTCCTCTGTGCTGGCTTCGAAGTTCTCAGCAACTTCTTCCCCAAAGACAAACCTGCAACCCATCGACATTCCAATAAATGTTTCCCCTTTAACACATAAACAAAAATAACCACACAATATGCTTGCCTCCAACCTCTATCTGTTCTCTACATACAGTGAGAGTGGACTCCCCCGTTTTGGCGGGTCCATACTCCACCTCGCCTGGCGGCGGTCCTCACTCGCTGGGAGGGTCTTCCTCCGTCAGGAGCCAGGCTCCCTCAGTCGCCCGCCAGCGCTCAGAGGGGATGGACGTCGCTCCGTGTTCCTCCCTCTCCACTCTCTTATTTCAGGCCTTCTGCCTTATTAAAACATGTCTAACTTATAAATAAACATCGCTACCGTCGCTGGGCACACGACCAACTACAAGCAATCACTATGAACTGGCGTATATCGTGCTTACCACAGATTATAAGGTCAAGGGCGCTTTCCCTCTGACGGCGTCTGGTCAGGGCGCTCCACACATCCCACGAAAATGCCTCTGAGCAGCTTATTGAACTCTGCTCGTCGACCAGGGCTTGAGACCACAACGTTCCCAGCTCGGTTCCACAGCTGGCACGTCTACACACTTCTCTTCTCTTCGAGATATATCACTAGGGTTCCCTTCTGGCGGGAGCTCACGGAGCGCGGCTTTCCCCTGCGATGTCTGGCACTCAAGTGAGGTCAAGGTCCTCCGGAAGCGAGCCTCATGCCTCCAGCAAAATGTCCACATCTCCTCGCCAGTCATTTATCTGCTTTCTTCTTCATTGCCCATAATCTCAAACTGTTATACATATCCAAGCAACTATTTTACATATGGGTTATCACCTCAATATTTGCTAGACCTTCTAATCAGGTCAGGCTTGATGAATAACTCTCAAGGAGGGAGACTCGTTTCTCCTGTAGGCTGAGATCATAACACTCCCCTCCCCTTATTTTTGAGAGTTATTCCAGTGGCAAAGCTCGGGATAATACATCCGCCACCACACTCTCTCTTTCTTCAACCGATTGGTTCGACCGGTTAGTGTGTTTACATACTCCCTAAGAGTCTACAACTAGTTCGTTGCTCCTTGCAACATCTGGCTCACCTCTCTCCAGAAACATGATCTTCTCATAAACGATTTGACCTCTCTGACACCTCTTGGCTAGGCTGTCCTCCTAGGACGCCTGCACTCCTTCGGTCCACTCTACTTATTGTTTCCACCCTCCGTTTCCTCGTCTTCCTCTCTTCACGTCCAGGGTCAGACATCTACTGTCAGTACATCCTCTGTCGTCTTCACACTTCCATCCACTGCCATTATACTTCCGTCTCCTGTCATCATACTTCACTCTCTCGTCTTCACCGACGATCCTCCCTTTCGTCTCCTCATTTATCCAAGACATCGTCCTGTTTGACTTCCATCGAGTCCTCGGTTTTCTTCTATTCCTCCATGTTGCATCATCATCCTCTTCCCACACTTCTCACCTCTATACAACTCCCTTTCTTCTCCTTCAACTCTTCTTCGTTCCCTAAAAGTTTCTCCGAGCGCTGTACTACATCCAACAGCACTCGACTGTACATGTCGCTTTACCTCTCCCAGAGTGCTCGTAAGCATCTCTCCACACATACTGTCTCTTCTCCTTTCATTTTCTCGGCTATTACTCTTCTTCATTATCTTCTCTTCACGTTTTCTGTGGAACATGTCGACTCCTGACATCTCAAATAACTTAACTCCACTATCCCTATGCCTCTGTGCTCGTGGACCACTTGACGCTCTACTCTCGTCCTCTGTATGTCCACATCTTTCCTCATTCCTACTCAGCACAGTTGCATTCGCCTTCCGACCCTTAATTTCAGCAGTCTGGGCTCTACTCAGGTCCGCTCTCTTCACATGATTCTTCTTCGGCTGGGCCATCTTCACTTTCGACCTCACCGAGACTCCATTCTCCTGGGCTGGACATTCATCAAACAGCCACGCTATATCTACGTCGATATCTTCTACCGGCTGAATCGACACTGTCTTATATTCTCCAGCGTCTCCCTCATCGGCCACCTCTGCCTTCGTCACTACCGAGACAGGGTTTTCAATGGCTTGGCGGCCTCCTGACTCATCTCCTCGGATGTCAGTCAGGTTCACACTCTCAGGTGTCCCACCCATGCCGTGGCCTTCTGGGCACTCCTCTGGCACAGTCTCCGCTATGACTCTTGGCAACACCTTTGTCCCGCACAAGTCATTCCCCAGGATCACTTGGACTCCTGGAACAGGTATGTCGGGGCACACTCCCAACATCACCTCCGCCGACACATATTCCGACCTTAGCTGGACAGTACATACGGGCATGTCACTCTCAGACAATAACCCATATACTCTCATCTTACTCCTGCCAGCTAACCGTCGATCATTCCCAATCAGGCTTCTCGCAATCAAGCTCTGATTAGCTCCGGAATCTCTTAAGATACCAACTTCTACCTCAGGTGGCCTCCTATACTGATCCAACCTTTACTCATGAACGGCCTATACCTCTCGTTCACTAAGTTTGATCTCTGTGGTTTGTCTTGGAACACATTAGCATATTTACTTCGGGTGTCACACATGGCCAGGGTCACAACTCTTTTGCCCTGCCGACAATCTCGCATCACGTGACCTAATCCGTTACAATTGTAACACTTCACCTGGGAAAAGTTTCTTCTATATGTACCAGAGTAGCTCTGACTCTGCCCACTCGTATTGGAGTTCCTCGGGCCAGACGTACTACTCGTACTCTGTGGAGCTTTACTGGACTCTTGATTCCCTGGATAACGATTAGTTTCTCGTTTAGCTCCTCCATCCTCACTTTCAGACGAAGTGCGCGACCTACTCTTCTGAGTTTTAGGGTACTTACTTTTATCTGCCCATTTATCAAAATTTTTCTCACCCCAGACTCTTCTGGGTCTCTCATAATTTCTTCCTCCCCAGACTCCACTGGATCTGCAATTGCTGCGTCTCGCCTCGCTTCTCACTCTGTTCTCCCTTCGTGCCATCTTAATTCTCTCTTGTTCTGCTTTAGCGGCCTCCATCTTTATCATAGCCAGTTCAGCCTTGGCCGTTTCTTGTTCGGCTTTGGCTCTCTCTTGTCCGACTTTAAATCTTTCCTGTTCAGCTTTAGCCTTTTCCTGTTCGGCTTTAGCTTTCTCTTGCTCAGCTTTAGCTCGCTCCTGCTCGGCTTTGGCTTTCTCTTGCTCAAGCCGAGTCTGCCTCTTTTCACGTTGCAGCTGTACCTCATTGTCTCTTGGTTCCAACTTTGGTTCCACCTCGTGCCTCTCAAGACTGCTTTCCCTGCTGCTACTTGAGTTTACATTAATTCCTTCGTCACTTGGCGCATCGTCCGTTTCTTCTGAAATTTCTTCCAACCTATCTGGTTCTTTATTCTGAGGCAGAGCCTCAGCTCCTTCTTGCTGGCACTGTATTTCGTCTTCTTCACATTGGCGCTCTGCTTCCTTCTCTTCTGCTTTTTGTTCCCTTAACCAAGTCCGCAGCACCTCGCGTCTATCCTCTACCTTATCATGCCTACCCTTTAGGCCGAAATGGTCTTCTAACATCCTTACCTGCCTTCTAGTGCACATATCTAGAATCTTCTCGTCACGAGTTTTGCAGAACATGCTTACTCTGTCTATATGCGTTAGTGCCCTGATTTCTTTCCGCTTACTAGACGCCCTGTTTGACTTCAACCTAACACCATACATTTTACCGATCAACCAAAGTTGCTCCTGGGTACAATTTTGCAAGATTTCATCATTCCCTGTATCAATGTACTTCTGGGCTCTCGCAAGGTCTTTCACCGAACCTCTAAAATTCAGGACCGCGGTCATCCTGTCCTGTGAGTCTTCCCAAGAGAGAGAATATACACCTGCGGTCACACAGTTTATCTATTTCAGCAAGGGTGTACAAATCCACTCTTGGACAGGGTGTGGGTGTGTCAGTTCACTCTCCCGGATAGGCCCCCAATTTATTATAGACTGTGGGTTGGTTGGTGTTGTCGTCGTTGATTCTTCTCTATGGACAACCCAACCCACAACTCGGTAGAGTGCTTATACTTCACTAGGAGATCACCCTTGGCGCTTCTGGCTCTGGAGAGGGGCTCAACGTCACACATTTAGGGGATGCGGCTCCAACGCCTAGCCTCGTTGTCGCGTGCACACACCCACTCGAGCCGCTGTGACTCCCCACTCTCTCTCCTTAGGTAATATGATCTCCTCGATCCCCTTTTGGCTTATTAGTACTACCTTCTACCCTGTCCACAGCAGTGGTTCTTGGTTCTTTCTCTCTCTCTCTCCTTCTTTACTACCTCCTGGGAAGCCTCACTAGGACAAGGGCAAACACCAGCAAATTGTAATACATTTACTGGACAAAGCACATACACGATACATTCACACATATAATAATAATGAATCCTATACTCTATAATATTACAATCAGGTTGCACTCCAACACCATCAGAACTCTATCATCAGCTTATCAAGTGGTATCCTATCTTCCGATTCACCACCTGATACTATCAACCTCCTCAAGTTGATCAAGTCTACATACACTGTTGCACCATCAGCAAGATAATATATATATAGAAAATCAGCACTTGAGTGCAATAACATATATCAGTATAAATGTTCATTGATACACAACAATGATCAATCGATCACTCTATCAGTCCTGGAACACATACGTCTGTAGATAATCCAGCCTACGACTGTAACTCTAAACTTCAGTATAAAACACTCCTTGACATAAGAATGCAAACAGTCACTCACCTCTCACTGCGTCTTGCACGCTAATGACAACCAAACACTATCAACTCACTACAAGTAATCCACCAGAACTTCCCTTCCACCTCTGGAAGTTCACTACCCTGATCTCTTCAGGTTCTTCCGGGCTTCACTATCAGGATCCTCTGCAGCTCTTCCAGGCTGCTATCATGAAGTTTCCTTGAGCAACTACGGTGCTTCACCCTTCTGCTAGGTTCCTCCACAGCTCTCTTGGCTGCTACACCATGAAGTTTCCTCGAGCAACTATGGTGCTTCACCACCTCTACAGAAGCACGTGACACTCCTCTTCACTGCTGCTTCTCACAGCTCGAGGTCCTCTCCTTCACTACCTTGGAGTCTCATCAACTACTTCCTCTGTGCTGGCTTCGAAGTTCTCAGCAACTTCTTCCCCAAAGACAAACCTGCAACCCATCGACACTCCAATAAAATGTTTCCCCTTTAACACATAAACAAAAATAACCACACAATATGCTTGCCTCCAACCTCTATCTGTTCTCTACATACAGTGAGAGTGGACTCCCCCCGTTTTGGGCGGGTCCATACTCCACCTCGCCTGGCGGCGGTCCTCACTCGCTGGGAGGGTCTTCCTCCGTCAGGAGCCAGGCTCCCTCAGTCGCCCGCCAGCGCTCAGAGGGGATGGACGTCGCTCCGTGTTCCTCCCTCTCCACTCTCTTATTTCAGGCCTTCTGCCTTATTAAAACATATCTAACTTATAAATAAACATCGCTACCGTCGCTGGGCACACGACCAACTACAAGCAATCACTATGAACTGGCGTATATCGTGCTTACCACAGATTATAAGGTCGAGGGCGCTTTCCCACTGACGGCGTCTGGTCAGGGCGCTCCACACAGCCCACGAAAATGCCTCTGAGCAGCTTATTGAACTCTGCTCGTCGACCAGGACTTGAGACCACAAACGTTCCCAGCTCGGTTCCACAGCTGGCACGTCTACACACTTCTCTTCTCTTCGAGATATATCACTAGGGGTTCCCTTCTGGCGGGAGCTCACGGAGCGCGGCTTTCCCCTGCGATGTCTGGCACTCAAGTGAGGTCAAGGTCCTCCGGAAGCGAGCCTCACGCCTCCAGCAAAATGTCCACATCTCCTCGCCAGTCATTTATCTGCTTTCTTCTTCATTGCCCATAATCTCAAACTGTTATACATATCCAAGCAACTATTTTACATATGAGTTATCACCTCAATATTTGCTAGACCTTCTAATCAGGTCAGGCTTGATGAATAACTCTCAAGGAGGGAGACTCGTTTCTCCTGTAGGCTGAGATCATAACAAGGAGTATACTGGTGCAGAGTATACTGGTGTAGGGTATACTGGTGCAGGGTATACTGTTGCAGGGTATACTGGTTCCGGGGTATACTAGTGCAGGGTATACTGGTGCAAGATATACTGGTACATGGGTATACTGGTGCAGGGTATAATGGTGCACAGGGTATACTGGTGAAGGGTATACTGGTGGAGTGGTATACTGGTGCAGGGTATACTGGTGCAGGGGTATACTGGTGCAGGGGTATACTGGTGCAGGAGTATACTGGTGCAGGGGTATACTGGTGCCGGGGTATACTGGTGCAGGGGTTTTTGGTGCAGGGTATACTGGTGAACTGTATAATAGTGCAGGGTATACTGGTGCAGGGTATACTGGTGCAGGGGTATACTGGTGCAGGGTATACTGGTGCAGGGTATTCTGGTGCAGTGTATACTGGTGCAGGGTATACTGGTGCAGGGGTATACTGGTGCAGGGTATACTGGTGCAGGGTATACTGGTGCAGGGTATACTGGTGCAGGGTATACTGGTACAAGGTATACTGGTGCACGGGGTATACTGGTGCAGGGTATACTGGTGCAGGGCTATACTGGTGCAGGGTATACTGGTGCACGGTATACTGATGCAGTGTATACTGGTGCAGGTGTATACTGGTGCAGGGTATACTGGTGCTGGGTATTCTGGTGCAGTGTATACTGGTGCAGGGTATACTGGTGCAGGGGTATACTGGTGCAGGGTATACTGGTGCAGGGTATACTGGTACAAGGTATACTGGTGCACGGGGTATACTGGTGCAGGGTATACTGGTGCAGGGTATTCTGGTGCAGGGGTATAATGGTGCAGGGGTATACTGGTGCAGAGGTATACTGGTGCAGGGTTTACTGGTGCAAGGTATACTGATGCGGGGGTATACTGGTGCAGGGTATACTGGTGCAGGGTATACTGGTGCAGAGTATACTGGTGTAGGGTATACTGGTTCCGGGGTTCAGGAGTATACTGGTGCAGGGTATACTGGTGTAGGGTATTACTGGTGCAGGGGTATAATGGTGCACTGGTGGGGTATACTGGTGCAGGGGTATACTGGTGCAGGGTATACTGGTGCAGGGTATACTGGTGCAGGGGTATACTGGTGCAGGAGTATACTGGTGCAGGGGTATACTGGTGCCGGGGTATACTGGTGCAGGGGTTTTTGGTGCAGGGTATAATGGTGCAGGGTATAATGGTGCAGGGTATACTGGTGAACTGTATAATATTGCAGGGTATACTGGTGCAGGGTATACTGGTGCAGGGTATACTGGTGCAGGTCTATACTGGTGCAGGGTATACTGGTGCACGGTATACTGATGCAGTGTATACTGGTGCAGGTGTATATTGGTGCAGGGTATACTGGTGCTGGGTATTCTGGTGCAGTGTATACTGTTGCAGGTGTATACTGACGCATGGTATACTGGTGCAAGGTATACTGATGCAGGGTATAGTGGTGCAGGGGTATTCTGCTGCAGGGTATACTGCTGCACGGTATACAGGTTCAGGGGTATACCGGTACAATAAAAAGTTAATCATATATGATCAATAACACTTCTCTTTCTGTTGAAAATTGTATTTGTTTGGTAATGAAATACTCTTCATGTGATGGTAATAATATATGATGGTGAGGTCAGTGGTATTAGTAATCCGCGTGTAGTTAGTGATGGTTCTTGCCTCTCATTGTTGTTCAAAGGAAAATATCTCCAGCTTGGGAATGCGAGCGTCTCTGCTTGACTGTGTGAGTGCTTTCGAGAGAGAACTAATTTGGATAAATTGAGTAGCAGATAGTTTTCATTTGTAACTTCGTGGTCTTTGAAGGTCCACTGCAGCCTTGTCGCTTCTGGTATAATTTATGTCGTGATCATGACTTCTCTGGATAATTTAATAAAAGGTTAATTATGTGGTAAGTTATTACAACCTGTCTGTCCGTTTTTCTGTCAGTGTTTACCTCTCGTTATTTCTCCTAGTCTCTTTCTTCCTCTCTCTCCTCTCCTCTCCTTTGCCTCATACTTATTCCACACATTTATTTAATGAAAAGTGCCTGAAAAATATCTACCTGGGAGAGTTCAGAGCTCACAAACTCACACTCTTGCCCTTCATAACTTCCCAGGCGGCCTTCAGCCTCCTGTCCTCCACTCTCTCCACTTTCTACCTGGATTTTATTCTCTTTGCATAAATGATTTGGTGTATATATATATATATATATATATATATATATATATATATATATATATATATATATATATATATATATAATATATATATATATAAAGTTTGTGAGGGTACCACCTCTGGTGCCAATGTCTGGACCCATAGCCTAGGAGAAGAAAATAAAAAGTATTCAGAGATGACCTTGTGGTTTCTCACTGAACGGTAATATTATCTTCTCCTACCACCCCATTCTTTTATATGTACACATATATATTTGTTTTATTTGAACTTTGTTACAAAAAAGGAGTTACATATAGGGTACAAAGATGGTTAACTTAAGTTGTCGAGTTCCTCCAGCTCCTCAGATGGCGGGCAGGAACCCTGAATGCAGTGTGCAATTCCCCTCTGTATCGCCACACTGAGGCGCTGGAAAAGAAAGCTGGCAGCTCTAGGGTTCCTTGTTGTTTTAATGAGCTTAGAACCCAGTTCCTTCAAAAAACTGGTAGCACTTTTACCCCAGGCGCCGAGTGTCTCAGAAGCAATGGGGACAAAATTGTAGTGGTGATCCAGTTCTCTGTGCTTACGGGATTT